TGATTCAGCGAACGACATGCCCGATTCGTGCGTCATTTCTGGTATCCCTTCATTCTCCATTGTGATTTTCGTGTTGCCGTCGGTCGTGAATTCGAGACATGTTCGCGGAGGCGAGACGGCGGAACGCATCGACCCCCTTCAGGGACCGGCTCCGCTTCATCCTGTTCAGGTTCGACCTCCTCTTCGCCATCAACGACCTGCCGCTCGACGATCGCCTCACCTTCTGTATCCTTCTCGCTGGGTCGGCAGGCGGGCTGCTCGGTCGTGTGGATGACCTTCCAAGAATGAAAACCGAAAGACTCAATCATACGCCTTCACTTCCCATTCTAAGCAGGGCCGGCCTTAGGCATGTGCCACGTGTACCACATGTGCCCCCGCACAGGTCGCAAATTCACCAGGGGCGCCAAAACGGGACTGAATACGTGAGGCAGTAATGGAGGCCACCCTCAGTTTTACTTTAGAAAGTGGAAATGCCTTTCGTTTCGGCGTCTTTTTGAACGTTAGGGATTGATCCTTCTCCCTTCTGGGGAGGCTTTGGGAGTCTCTTTGCCGCCGAAATAGCTAGGGCTATTCTAATTTGATTCCAAGTTTCCGATTCTGACTTTCATTTTCGAGACGGTGATCCTCGTTCAGGAAGCCGAATGGCGATCCGGCCTTTCGACAAGGTCCTTTTCTTCGAGGGTGCAATCACGGTTTTCGTGTTGGACTCCGATTCCCGTTCTTACTCCGCTTTTCTCGGTTTTCCTCTCTTGTACTCGTCGACTCTGAACGCCAAGAGCCATTCCCGATCCGAGTCTGAATCGAAGTCATTCATTTTTCGCGTCTATTCGGAATTTGAGGACTCCAGAGATTCCTATCGGGACGAGCTGCAGTGACCAACACGAAAAGGCTGCCAGACGCCAAAAAAAATCCAGATTTTCATTTTCTTGCTTCGATTAAATTTGTTAATTGACTGAGTTCGAAGAGGATCCTCTCTCGACGGACTTCCATTTTATTCTTTAATTTTGCTCCTTATTTGTATGTCCCTCCCGAATTAATTTGGAAGTTAAATATCAGGTATTACTGTATGCAGAGTGTTCCCAAAGGAATCCTCGGAGTATAGTGTATTACGTCCGTTCAACCTATGGGAATCGTTCCTTAACCATCAGCTGGGTGGAACCAGACGTGTGTTTCCTGACCTTTCTGGCCATGATTTGCTTCTCCGTCTTCACCTTCCTCATCTACCCTCTCTGCAACTACTTCGCTGAGGATGCTTCCACTCAGCAGCAATTTATGTCGCCTGAGTTGTGATATCGACTGTTTCGTTGTGGGATTAAGTAAAATTATTTTCTCCATGCCGCTGTTTCATTTGATTTGTAAATAGGGGATGTGCAGATTTGTTCGACGGAATTGTCAGATGTCAAGATTTCAACTTTTCTTCGTGACTCTGAGACGCGGAAATTTTGCTTCTTTTGGCTTCCGGCAATCGGCTATGAGAGTTGGTATTCTAATAAGAAGTTTCAACTTGGTCTAAAAATAGGATTATCGCATGAGCGGCTTACGAAGGGCCGTGTAACGTTCAAGATTCATTGTTGCGTCCATTGTTGCTGCGTTTGCAGCGTTCGAAACATTCGAGAGACCAAGAGAATTAGTGCGAAAGGTGAAACTATAGAGTACCAGCCCAGGTACAGATCGGCCATTTCATTGGCCCTTATACCTCTGGAACGATCGTCTTCGCCGCATTGAAATAAATAAGAGCTGTCATTGGTATTGAAAAAACAAACTGGACACGTTCTCGATGGTTCCATCGTCCGCGTCGGGTAGAGATGAGAGGAGAGTCATGAAGTGTGGGTTGCCAGATGCGCATTTCACGCGTTCGCCTAGCAACCCTGTCTACGCGGCCGGGAGCAGCCGCTCTCTCCCATCGTCTACTATGGATCCGTCATCCGCGAGGGCTGGAAGGGAAGTGGATGTTTTCGTCGAAAACGGGCAGCCCGACCAAGGTGAAAAGCTGCACATCAGCAGCGAGTCGTGTGGCCGGTTGGTATGGATACTGAGAACAGACGGGATGAAAAACAAAGTGACAGACGGGTCGCAATATCTGCCATTTCCCCATAGTACCTATGGGAATGACGGACAAAAATGAAAAATGGTGGAAGCATATCTCTCCGTTTATTCTTCACGTTTCTTTCAAATGTTTCGACCGATTGTAGCCAAATGAAAAAATATTGACGACGGATGGCAA